GTAATTCGTCACAAAATGATTGCACTCTTTTTTCCTTACTAAGTTTTTATCACAATTGAGTTTTTCTTGGTAAGATTTTTAACGAGACAATCATGAATTACGAATTTAAAAATTAATATACAAAACTAATTTATTAAATTGTGTTAATAATGTGTGTTGAATGTTGATTTTAATTTTTATATAATTTTAACAGAAAATAACTTAATAATTATAAAAATTAAAAAATATAAAAAAAAAATTTGGGCTATTCGGGCGGGTTAGGGCGGCCAAAGTCAGGCCCGAGGCCCGTCCACGGAGCTTCTCAGGCTCAGCCGGGCGGCCTAAAAATTTTGAACGAATCGGACATCGGGTAAAAAATTGATATTTTCGGGCGATTACGGCCCGTCCAATGTTCTAACACTATGTATAATACTATACGTATACGCATATATAAAAGAATATCGCATTTACTATATATATAGCTGTATCTTATATGGTATATAGAAGGTTGATTGTTTAAGCCACTTTGATCTCTCTCTCTCTCTCTCCAGCTCAAAAAGAAGGATAAAATGTTCTGCTTTAACCCATACAAGCATAAAGACTCGTGGAGAGACCTTTCGCTTAAACGTCATATTGTTCTTTCACGTCCAATGATGACCTTCTCTTTTCTTTCTTTGAATCTAAGTAATTATAAGGATAAAATGGTAGACCCCCAGATGCCTCATCATAATTGACTGATTGCAGAAGCCAGAAGGTCGGCGAGAGAGAGAAGGGGTTAAAAAAAAAAAAAAAAAAAAAAATCTTTCCCAATCCATATATTATAAATTTCAAAAAGAAGGGAAAAAAATAAAAATAAAAAATAAAAGAGGTGCTAGTAGACAAGTAGTAGAGTGCCAATATTTTCTATGCTATCTTTTTTCTTTGATTTAACTTTTTAACGAAAAGCCTGTAAACTTTGCCTCTTCCATGTGCATGACAAGCAAAGTGGAATATTACCGAGTAACATATCCACGCCACTTAATTAGCTAGCCAATTGTGTAGATTACCTCCTCTTATATATCTCCACTCGCATATGCTCAATTGTAAAAAATAAAAATAAAAAAATAAAAAAGCCCACGATTATATTTATCTCAGACCATCTCCAATATAAATATTAATTTTAATTGTATATTTAATATTAAAAAATGTGATATAGTATGTTATTTTTATTTTTATTCCAATACATAATGCTATTTGAAATGTTAAATCTATTTTTTCTAATAGTAAACTTTTATTTTTAAAATATTCAAAAAATATAAAAGTTACAATGATTACATGAAAAAGATTTCAATTAATAACAATCAAATGTTAAATTTTCCATATGCTATGCTTAATAGAAAATTTACTATAATGTATAACATAAAGAAAATTTAGCACAACAAATATCATTTTATTGAATAGTATTTTTTACACTCAATACTAAATTTACAATTAACACATTAATTATAATAATGTATTGAAGATGCTCTCACCGCTACATCTAAAAGAGATCGGCCAACAAATCTATATAACATATGAAACGAAACAAAAATTAATGTTTCTATATCTTCTCATTAAACAGGTACGTGAAAGATTGCATAACAACTAGTAGGAGATCAGATGATTAACATGACACTGTCTGAAAAGATTTAATCAGCTTGTAATTAGTTGTAAGCTGAAAAATTACTTTTTAATAAGTTCATTGTAGAACGACTCAAAGTTGTAGATGAAACTGGCTGTTCTATCAGAGCCTCTGTGCTGCATAAAATGCATGAATACCTAAATATTACGTTATGCTCCTAGAGAAACGACAAAGAAAATAAATCCAAATATCGCGTATATATATGATAAGAATGGTATACACACTGCACGGAGATGGATTCTCGGTTAGCTAGCTTTGAAATTAAAGCGATCAGTACGATTCCAATGCTGCCAAATCCGTTGATTGACATGTGTTTGTATGTATGTGCATGAAAATCCTTTAAGGTCAACAGCCAAACATATGATTTATATATAGAAAGTTTCATAGTTAATCCTGAAAATACCAAGAATATTGATCTGTCATGGCGATTCCCTCATTATTTTACCAGGTAATTATAGTCAGCAATAAACTTTATTATAATGGAACATTAGTTTAGAATACTATATATATATATATATATCTAAGAACAACTATTTAGCTATTTAGTGCTCTCGTTCATTCATATATATATATTCTTAAATATAGTATATAAAAGTAAAATACACCTTTTGAATATCATGTGTCACAAGTCATGAACAATAATTCCATGACTTTCCGGAAATTAGGACCCATGTATCTATTATCCATACACTGTATCTATGTGTGTAGAGACATCAATGTATAAGCAGCACTCTTTTCTGAGAGTCCAAACACTCTTTTTCTCGTAAAATGCATATTGACAGGTGTAAGGGTTTGCTTGCAACACGTAGACAGCCAGATCAATAATGCAAAAAAAGATCTTTTTTTTTGTGTAAGTGCACATATAACCAATCCCTAAAACACTATTTCTAATTTTGTATTATAGTTGACGTGTGATGAGGACCAGTTTTTACTATATGCATTGGACATTATTGCTGCTGTAGTGAGTACGGTCTTGATTGCTGATGAAGATAGCAAGAATTGAGAAGGACGTTGGAGTTTTGAACTGAAAGTGGAAAAGTGATAAGGAGTATTCGTTCTCAACTTTAAATAAAAGCATGTTTTCTTCCCTAATTGCACATGAATGAGTAATGTCGTTCTTTTACGATAAAACTCATAAAAAATTTAAACTCAAGTTACAATTTTATTCAAGTTTACGTTCTTTGAAGTTCTAATTTTATTCAATTTTATTCAAGTTACAACTTTAAACTCAAGTTACAACTCAAATTCAACTCAAAAACTACACTCAAGTCACACTCTAAAAGAACAACCCTGCGCATCGTTTATTTTATGGATTCGAGTTTTCAGTTTTAGTTTTTTACAGTTAAAAATTTTCAAAAAATGTCATATCTAATTTTTTCTACTACAGTTAAAAGTTAACAAAAAATGTCACATCTCAACACGAATTAAAAATTTGAATATATGAAGCGAATGAGGCCTAAAAAGTACTGAACTTAGAAAGCAATTAGAGAACTATTCATTCCGATGGAACAGCTAGCACGACACAAAAAAATGTGGGTACAAAGATTTGTGGCCAACTCCCCCTCTCCTCTCCCAACAAGAAACAGAAGGTTAACTAATTTACCTAATTGCACATGAATGAGTACTGTAGGAGTTATTAAGGGTTCGTTTATTTTATCGATTCGAGTTTTCAGTTTTAAGTTTTTATAGTTTAAAGTTATCAAAAAATGTCGCATCTAATTTTTTTTACTACAGTTAAAAATTCTCAGAAAATATCACATCTCATCACGAATTGAAAATTTAAATTTGTGAAGTGAATGAGGCCTAAAAAGTACTGAACTTAGAAAGCAATTAGAGAACTATTCATTCCGATGGAACAGCTAGCACGACACAAAAAAATGTGGGTACAAAGATTTGTGGCCAACTCCCCCTCTCCTCTCCCAACAATAAACAGAAGGTTAACTAATTTACCTAATTACGTTTTTCTCTTTTTTCTTGACGCTGAACATTGACAAAAAGTATAAGGGGGTTGCTTGGATTTTGTTTTTATAGAAAAATATGATTAATCAAGAACCTTAAATGTGGAGGATTAATCAAAAGTTTGTTTTTTCGCGTAGTTCGATGAAATAGTAAGTTTTAAGGACGATTATCTCTGCTAGTGATCCAAGTAAAATTTAGAAGTAAGTGATATACAATGGGTGTGTGAGGACACTTTTTCCTTAAGCAAAATTTGTGAATGAATGTCTTGAGTCTTGAGGTTCGAATCCTTTACGATGCAAATCCCTTGAGGCCATGCTCTTTTTTTCAGAATAGAATCTGTTATTATTATTAATAATAAGAATAAGCTTCAGTTACAATAACAGTTTTTTATGAATGCTGGAGTTTTCTCTAATCAAATTAGTTTATCATCTCTATTAAGAGCGTAATTAGTTAAAAATTGACAACTTTATTAGCTTCTTTACACACATAGACCTCGTTCATTTCATCGATTTGAGTTTTCAGTTTCAATTTTATTACAATTAAAAGCTCATAAAAAGTCACATATAACCTTTTTTGCTACAGTAAAAAGCTCTCATATAAAATCACATATCATTTTAAATTAAAAACTCGAATCAACGAACTGAACGGGGCTATAGTAAACTTAGCTCTTAGAAAAACATGTAATAAACTAAATACATATGGCAATAGCATTCCAAAATTATTACAAAAGAAAGAAAAGTTTTTCACAGCTTAGATGATTGCCAATGCATCAGACTTTAGAAATTGGAGATTTAAAGGCTGTATTTGGAATTGATCCCGTTTTATTTTTCACATTTTTTAATAAAGAAAAAATTAAAACGTTTCTGAAACGGCGTTTGGCGTAATAAAGACAAAAAACGTAAATGAAAACGATTTTTTCGTTTAGTGTAAAATGAGAGAGAAATAAAAAATAACTTTTAGTCATTTTTTATTTTTTGTTTTCATTTTCTCTTCTCTCGAGCAGAGAGAAAAAGAGAGACATTAATAGATTTTTTTACACTAAAAAATAATCTCTTAATAAAATTATCAAACGTATTTTTAAAAATAATTTCTGTATAAAATTAAAAATATTTTTATTTTTATTTGTATATAAAAAATAAAATTATTTTAAAACGAGTTCTAAACGCACTCAAAATAAACTAGCGACTTACCCTAATGTGTAGGGATCCGTTCGAGAGCATAATGCACAGGTCCTATTGGATTAGTAGAGATACGCACAAACTCGCCGAACGCCCATTAAATCAACAAAAATAAATAAATAAAATGATGAATAAATGCAATGTAAAACGTCTTTCAAGATTGATTTGTAGATTAAATGGGGACAAAATAAGGGGACATTGGTAAATGCATTAGTATTGGACGCAGACGTCCACGGACCACCACAATAACCATCCACCATTCCAATATTCCATTCCTTTACCCTTAAGACACCCCCAAAAGCCCATAAACCCCCGCAAACCAATAAACACTTCTAAACCCCCTCATCTCTCTCTCTCTCTCTCTCTCTCTCTCTCTCTCTCTCTCTAATTTCTTGAGCCTTTTTAACTCCCATCCCATGCTTGCCTTTTCCTTTCTCTTCCCCCTTTTTTCCCATTCTCCTACTCACCCAAATGAGCCAGTGATGATTCTGTTTCCTGTGATGGAAGAGACTGAGGATCATTTTCACCATCTCTAAGATTTGAATTCCGTTAGTGGGCTTTTTCTCTTCTTCTTCAATTTGTTTATGATGAATTTTTGGGTCAAAACTTCTTCCTCAAATCCTTTGGTCTCAAGCATTGTCACTCTCTACGCTCTGATTCTCTTGTACGTCCCTCACCAATTCCTGAGAGTTCTCTTCTCTCCCGTTCTGATCATCACCGGGATTCTCCTCTTCTCTCTCCTTCGTCTCGGTGCAATTCAGAAATGCGAAGATGAGAACAGGAAAGCTGAGGAAAAGAGCAGCAAAGAAACCACTTATTCGACCCAACAAGAGCAAGAAGATCACAACTGGGTCGACTTATACGAATCGGAAACGGACTCCGAACCCGAAACGGGTTTCGAAACGAACTCGCGTTTCGAGTACTCGTTCGTGGGTTGGAACTTGCGCGCTCCATTGGAGGTCATTTACGAGGAAGAAGACGAAGACGAAGAAGAAGAAGAAGGAGGAGGAGGAGAACATCGGATTCTGAGCGGAAGGTACGCGTCGTTGTCTCGTTACTATCCGGAATCGGAGGAGGAATCGGAAAACTCGTCGGACGGGGAGTTTCCGGCGACGGGGTTCTGGGACTCGCCGGAGAGTTTGGGATTCCGATGGGAGGAGGACGATAGGGAAGGATTGATCGAGATTGCTTTGGACGGGAATAAGAAAAACGACAGAAATAAGAGAGGATTGGATTTTCACGTTGAGGAAGAGAATCTGATTGAGATTGATCTTTCTGTAGCGAGAAACGACGAATTCCCGGCGAGCAACGACAGTCCTCCGGCAAGTTAGGTTCTTTTAACGTGAAAATAATCAATTTAGGGACGGTTCACGGTTGATAACCAAAAAAAAAA